TGATATGGCTGCTGGCTATGGAAAGGAATACTTGACTTGTTAAAAGAATTGCTAGCTTATTAAGAATAATTTGAACTAACAACAGCAGTAATGGGTATAAACTGTACAAATGAAATGGTATGTTTAGATTTTCAAATTACTTCAACATCTCCACTTAATAGAAAAATCTTTTTTAAACCATATGTATCAAAGGTAATGTTGTCACGCTCTCTACAGCCAGAGGGCGCTCCCACTCTGTCCTGTCCCTAGTTTCCTGAAAAACCTTTATTCTGTTCTGTCCTGCGTTCATGCTTCTGCTAATACTAATGTGAAGACTAAGATATAAAATATTATAATAAAGTACAAAAAAAATGAAACACGATAACATTTAGAATTCATAACAAAATCCATAAAGTATTTTGTAATGTTTTTGTTTGAGTCATACTTGCCAGACTTAAGTTGTGCTTCTGCTTTTCTGGGTTGTTTGGAAACTTCCTGCTCTGTTAATGTAGCAATGAAGAAATCACAATGATACTAGCATGAATCTGAGCTGATAGCCACACACACTGCCATCTTGTTAAACTTGTGACCTTTGTCTTTTATCACATATCGGGGTATGCAGTGGCTGAGGGTGAGGGAATGTTCATAACCCTTGTATTTGTGCCGACCTGTCATTCATAATTTTTTATTTAGCCATACTGACTAAAACCACAACTGCTGTTAGAAAGCTGTAGGACTATCGTTGACTATTCTGTTGCTGGCCACCAGATCATTTTCACTGCACTGATTACTTGTATATGTTTTTTCTTGTCTCTAGGTGTTTGTGCAGAGACACGAGACACAATTCCTGGTGTTTAGTTTTGAGACATCTCCTGCTGGTGAGTGAAATCTGTTCCAGAGCTGGGAGAGAAATGAAAAGACATAGACATGACCAGTGAAAGTGAGAGCTGTAGCCTAAAGGTAATAGAAAAACTAAGCCATATTAAAGGGAAGTGGGAGTTTAACCAGCCTTGAGTCATTGGTGAAAAGGGCTAGCCCACTGGTTGTTTGGATAGTTTGTTTATTTTTTTCTTCCCTCATTCTGGAGCTAAAGAGTGAACTGTAAATGTAGAAATAAAACTCTGTTCTAAACCAGTTTTAAATAATTACTGCGAGACCAGCTCATAAATGTTCCACAACTTGTCTTTTCTTTCCTCTAAGAAAACAAGAAGAAATCATATTGAAACTAACACCCTCAAAATATTTTCATATTTTGGGAGAAAAAAATATGTTTTTTTAATGAAATTGATATGTTTTTCAATTGATATGTCAAGGGCTGGTTCCACCAGATACGACCCCCTACAATAATGTTCACTCCCTAGTCCTGGAGGGAGCGCTGTTTCTTCTGCTTTTCATTCCAACATTCCAACCAGACTGTTAAAGAGTTTATTTGACTCATCTGTTCATGTACGTACAGTACTGGTTACCAGGTCTTTACTCATTGAGCATTATGTAACGTGGTGGACTAGGGCCCTTGAGGACCCCCAGGAGTGAATACCATTGATCTCAATGGCAGATGTATTAAAAATGTATTCAACTGTACTGTTTTTTACTGTATATCAACTTGTGAGATACAATGGAAGACGTAGAGGTTAATTTCATGCTGAAAAGCAAGAAAGAACATGAGAACACCAGGTTGAAGATCTCTTTCTTACTCCCCTCACTCCTCTGCTCTCTTCTGCACACACCTGAAGAGGCTCCACCGACAGCCAAAGCATGGTTCACTAGGGACAACAACATCCAAGAATTGAATGCTTTGTGAATGTTTGGAATATATGTTTGAAAGTCTGGCTTTACCCCTTTGGTGAATGGGTAGCCTCCTGGGCACAGGACAAGGTGGCCCAAACCCCATTCAAACTGAATGAACCAAGCGGAAGCTGCAAGGTTGTGGTGGGTGGAGGATAGACGATTGAGATGAATGCGAAGGGAGGCCAGTATATCTAGGGAGTTCATAATGGTGGTGATTAGGTACAGCTGTGTAACTTGCCATTGTTATCCCTCTCAAACTTCAGTTAATAAGTACTGTACGTTTATGTTTTCTTCTGTTTACTTTTCAGTGTGGAATTCACCTCCATTTACTCCTTAGGGTACAGATTGGTCACACAACGTATGTGGACTTTTCAGCACAGGTACAAGACCTTTCACAGTCAAATAAAAATCACACCATCAGATTCCAGCAGACAGTGCACTATGATATTACTTTCTGGGCCCAGAGAAAATCACTGCCACTTTATGATAAAACCGAATACATACCAAAGGATGGCTATACTGTTGTTGTTGTCAAACAGTGAGGTGCACAGAGTGATGGTGTGATACAAAGACCATGACACTAGCAGAACAGATGTTTGACATCCAGGCCGCTCCTTTAAGGATGGCACTGTAAAGAAAGTCTAAGCAGAAGTAAAAGAATAAAATGAAAGCAAGCTTTAAAACAGATTTTATTGATATATATATATAAAACTGCACTGCCTGTTCCAGCTATATTCTAATAGGATATATTTGCAGCAGTAATTCTCAGGTACATTAGAACTACCTGACAGACCTGGATTCAATCTAAAACAATCCATCCATTATTGGAAAGCCACTTTTCCTGATGAGGGTGATAAAGCTGGAGCCTTTATCCTAGAAGCCTAAGGAATAGACTGGGACTGAGAGCAAACACCTGTTAGCTAGCAGGATGGGACACTAGTCCATCACAGGGCTACAGAGAAGGAGACAATTTAGAACAGTCAATAAAATTACCCAGCACGTCTTTCATACATGTAAGGAAACCAAATCACCTGGCAGTTAGGTTCCACTGCCAACAGCTGCATATGTATGAACATTTTCTTTTAGTAACTCAGTAGTCACTGCTTTTTTGTTTTCTCTTTCATGGCTGCATACCAGCTAGTGTTGTATGATGATCCAGATATATTTGCAATTTTTGCCCAGCAGGTGGTTTCATATTCTGATCTCTTTCTGTAAAGAACGTGACACTTGTTTGTAGTTCTAATACTACTCTTCCTCACAGATTTTTCAATTGTAAGAGCTCAGTGCACTGGCTCACAATAAGTCATTTTGAAAGGGCTTGGTTGTGTCAAAAGCTCAATGGAGGACAAAGGTGGATTTCTTGGTAAAATTCTCAGGACTGCCCCTGATATGTTAGAGAGGGACTTTAAGGAAAATGCCATTGTATTTTTAAGAGCAGTGCTACTCAACACATGGCCCTTTAAATCTAGAATGCTGTCTCAACCAGCAACATTATTGTTAGACTTAATTGTGTCACGATCGCTAATCCTCCTCTTTAGGGTGCTCCAGCCCTTTCTTGTTCTGCCCCATTACCTGCACCTGTTTCTTATTCCCGTTCCACCTTAAAAGCCAGACGCAGACGTAACTCCTGGTTCCTCATTGAATCCCGTTTCTTGAGAACCCAGGGG